TTCCGATCTTATATATATATAATAATAATAATAATAATAAAAATAGATTAAGTGACTTGTTTGAATGGTCAGTTACCATGAAAGTCATGGGTTTTTTTTTTTTTGGTAAAGGAAAGTCATGGGTTTTAATCCTCACATATCATTTTTTTTATATTTTTTAAATATCTTATATTTTCTTATCACGTTTGTCTGATGTCAATGATTTACATTCCATCAAAACCAGAGAGTGTCACTTTATTGGTACATGTGAATCATCACAACATTAACTAAAAGTATACTTGCAAGAAAATTTATATTTATCCCACCCTAAAATATGTGTGAAGATTGGAATCTATACCGTTTTAGATGCAAAATTAAACCTTTCAAATTATAATTCAAACCTTTGGATTTATCGAAAAATATCATCAAATTAAACCATTTAAGATTAAAACCTTAACAATAATAAACCAAGAGAAGCAAGGAAGTGGCGAACTGTGAACGGTCAAATGACCCATATTCATTTTTTTTCCTACCCAAATACAATTGTAAATCTTTTACATCAAAATAATATTATGCAGAACAAAAATAAATGTACTCATCTCTGGTCCGTCTTGTATTTTCATTTTCTATTTTAACTTTTTAATTACAAAACAACCACCTTATTTTCAATCAATTTATTGTTTTCAAATATTTACAATAAGTACTAAAAGCATCCCTTTTTAACTTTTCTTCATTTGTTGTATAAAATATTTGAAAGTAAGAAACAGATTGGATACAGTGTGACATTTTCTGTAATTAAAAATTAAAAAGCGGAAAATAAAAACATAAGTAAATGGGAAAAGATATGAATTTTTAACATAGTAAAAAAATGCAGAATAGTTGAAACCAGAAAAAATCAGTAATGTTGAAAAATGGATAACAATTTATTGAAATTTTGAATGCACACTAGTATTTCAATTCAGAATATTAACGACTGAGTTGTTAATAGATCAAATCAAATACTTGAAAGTTGGCTTTCAGTAGAACAAATGGCATGTGATTCTCAACTTAGACTGAAGAGATAGCTGCTGTCCAGAAAGAAAATATGCACAAATGGATGTTTGTTTTCAACTTTTGTTAATTTGCTTTCTTCTTCCCTTTTTACTCTATCATCACAACTCCTCTTTTTTGATAAGGCCCCCAAAAGTAACAGCCCAAACCACTAATACCAACCCAAGTAGACCACAAACCGCCCAACCTGATGGGCTGAATTGGAAAAGGGCCCAACTATTACTGCCTCCAGTTTGCTTTGATTTGGGCTTTTTTAGGCCCAAACGTGACTGAACCAATCGAAGAAAATCCCTGTAATTGATATTTTCAGTCTTCACCTAATCACCCCAGGTAAAAAGTAAGGGTAGAAAGATCATTAGAACATTTTCATATTTAGCACAAAAATAGACAAAAAAAAATGAGCAAAACCTACCAGAGCATCTTTAGAAGTACCAGCACCAAAATGACCAACTATGGAGCACTTAATCTTTAGCAGTCTTTCTAATTGACAACTAAATCAAATAAAGCCACTATAGCTGCAAAAAATGGATCCATACCAACATATCATAAATATGCATCTAACTCCAGTATCCCAACATCAGGAAATCTGAAGTTCCTACGTGTGGATACAGGTGTACCAATAACCACCTTTATGCCATAGATTGATTTCAGTTTTCCAATTAGAAGTGTTTTACTCTTTACTAGCACGCCTGTATCTCTTTGAGAGAATCAGTGAGCATATTGTAACATGGGCTTTTTGACCAAAGTGGGGTCCTTTTACAAGTTATTTACGTAAATGGGGCTCTTTTAAAAGTATTTACGCCTTTGGGGCTGTTTACAACGGTGTCGCTATGGGCCATAGCGACACCAGTGACACGTGGCTTTTTTCTTTTTTTGTGTGCGAATGAGCCACAATGGTGTCGCTATAGGCTGCGCTACCACAGTTGATGGCCCAACGAAAATGATGTAGCCCATAACGACACTGTATAAGAAAAAAAAAAGAAAACAAAAATAATAGAAATGTAAAAATAAAAATAATAAACTGACTTGGTTATTATATATTTATAAAACTAAAATTAACTTCTGCACAAATTTAATTATAAATTAAATTATATTAAATTTTTTTAAGTGGCGCTATTTGTTTTTTTTTTTTTTAAATTATTCACTGAAATTATTTTTTACAAACTTAATTTTTTATTCATTTTACATAATATTATATTTATAAATGTATGTTTTCTGTAATTTTTTTAATTTTATATAATTTTTAAACATTTTTATGTAATTTTTTAAATTTTAAAAGAGGCGCTATGGCCTATAGCGACACATAGCGACACTGTGTTGTACTATTTGTTTGGGTCCTGTATTATCATTGTTCAAATAAATTGATTTGGATACTTTATGATACGTGTATGGGTGATAAAAGTGACATTGAGAGAAAGGACATGCTCCCTTTAAAGCATACCCTTTGAAAGAACTTTCTGCTAGACTTTGTTGGCTCACAATGGACCCTCATAATATTATTTATTAATTTTTTGATTTAACTCTTGCTGCGTATTACACAGCTACTCCTAAAATCATGTCATCTCGCAGTGGTAAGTGTTGGGTACTTGTGGGTGTGTTTAAAGTATGAATAAAAGAAAAATATAGTGGCGCTGTGATAGTGGCGGTGTAGCCTACAGCGCCACTATACTTTTGTTTTTTTTTTTTTAATTATTAAATAAATTATTTTTTATCATATTTTAATTTATTTACGAATATCATAAAAATATGTATTTATATATTTAACTATTTCTGATTTTTCTTTATTTTTTACATATTTATTTTTTATTTACGTTTTTTAATTTTTTAAATAAGTGGCGCTGTGGCCTATAGCGACACAGTGTCGCTATAGGCCATAGCGCCACTATATTTTTGTTTTTATTATTATTTAAATTTGTATATAAATTATTTTTATCACATTTTAACTTATTTCTAAATATGTGGCGCTGTAGGCTATAGCGACTTTAGTGAAGCTATTTTGTGGCGCTATAGGCTGTAGCGACACTATTAATATGGCTTTCATGGCTTTCGTGGAGTTTAAAAAAAGCCACGTGTCACTGGTGTCGCTATGGGCCATAGCGACACCGTTGTAAACAGCCCCAAAGGTGTATATTCTTTACAAACAGCCCCATTTACGTAAATAAGTTTACAAATTGCCCCACTTTGGTCAAAAAGCCTGTAACATGAGGTGGCAGTAACTAACAGTAATTAAAGCCATTAACTGACATGTCTCACCTTTCACTGGCTAATGGCTATTCATCCGGGCAACACCTCACTTTAGGCAGGTGAAGCAACAAGTCAACTTTTTAGCCTTGGGCATTCGAGGTTACAAATAGTGCAATCACTGTCAAAAGTAGATAGGGGTGACACAAAATGATCAGCTTAATGTAGTCCCTCAAGCAATGTTAACATGGCCAAATAGAATGATCAAATATTGAAGTTATCAATCAATAAATAAAAAATATGTAAAATCATACATACAAAAGTTTTGAAAAACAGGCATACTTGTCTTTCCCTCGACCTGTGGGGATTGAGAATTGAGGCTAGTGAGATTTATGTAAACACCATATCCTTATGCTCTTCAAATATTGGGAACACTAAGAAAATAATTACAGTAGAGAAATAAGATAGAAAAACTTGGTAAGACCATATAGACATAAAAAGGTATCTATGCTACCATGATACAAAATTCTTGGTGCTCGAGTAGAAAACAAACACAAATAAGTAAAACAAACTACTCTCTAGACCCCATCAGAAATAGTATAGTGAATTTTGTACAGAGAGGTGGCCGGAGCCTGGGGACTGTTATTTACAATGAATTCTCTGAAGTTAACTTTTTATAATCATGAATCAACTAACTGAGCACCTAATGCATTTTTCAGTGTATTTGACACCCCCACCCTCTCCTTACACCTACATTCAGTTCAATGCCATTGGAAATCAAAAAACAAAAATGCTTCTAAATGCATTTCACAACCACAATTCAAAACCGTGATGCTAAACAGATGCGTGTGATACATGTGTTTCATATACAGCAATCCCAACACTAATTGCTTCAGTAAGATTCCTCTAAAGGAATTTAAAATTGTAGCACTTATATGATTACATCACCTCCAAAGTAAATCATCATTGATGATAGTTTCTCAATATAATAGGTTTCAAGGATGGAAAACTACACCAGGAAAATAGAAAGTTGCAAGAATTACTTTTATTTAAAATTTCTTTACATTTTCTATTAAAAGAAATATCTATTACATTTGTTTCATATACTTGGCAGGGAAGAGGGATTCAGGCTACATAATATCCATATTGCACAATCCCAACACAATATCCTCAAAAAATCCTGAAGTTCCCTTTGGAATTTGAGGATCTAAAAGTCCCCATGTGTTTGTGTGTGTTACTGTTATAATCTGCTTCAGTTTTTTGGAAAAATACCTGGAAGTCAAGTGTCACTCTTTTAATGATGAGAGTCACTGGTGTCAAGATAAGCAAGTTACTTTCAATGGAACTACCAAGAGAGAAGAAGCAGACACAAATAACGATTACTGCCCCTGATAATTCCATCATAAAATGGCGTACACAAAAGTCAACTAAGTTTTCTTAACAAGAAGTTTCTCTATTGCTTCATCACAAAGCTCAAGAGTATTTTCCCAGTTCCCTTCTTCATAGTTTACATCAACAAAAATATCATATATCTCTTTTTCTGCAACGAACCCTTGAGCTCTCATCTCCTCAAATAGCTTCCTAGCCTCCACAAATTTCTTCCTCTTATAGAAACCCTTTACAAGAGCATTATAGGAAGCAGCAGTAAGACTAAATCCCCTTTCAACCATTTCTTTATACAAAAACCATGCCTCTTTCATATTTCTAGCTTTACAATGACCTTTAATCAAAATATTATAGGTATTACTGTCAGGCATCACTCCTTGAGCATGCATCCCTTTATAAATCTCAGTAGTGACACGCATGTTATTTCTAATACAATACTGTTTCATAAGAGAATTGAATGTTGTGGCATTTGGCATTATGCCTTTTTCCAACATCCATTTGATTAGTCTTTCACCATCTTCCAACATCCCTGACATGCAAAATCCATTCATTAGCACATTGAATGTAACAATTGTAGGTTGAAGTCCTTTATCAAGCATAATCCGCAGCAATTCGTGAGCCTTAGCCATTTCACCCATCTTACAATAAGCATCCATGAGTGTAGTATATGTAATAGTGTCAGGATAAAACCCTGCCAGATCCATTTCTTCCATAAGTTTCACGGCTTGCTCTATATTTCCTACCTTACAAAGACCATTGATCATTGCATTATACGTGCAGACATTTGGTTGAAGGCCCTTTTCAGACATTTCATGAAGAAGCTCATTTGCAATATCTACCTCTCCACGTTTACACAGGCCATCAACCAATGCAGTATAAGTGACAACATTAGGAGTCAGAGCCTTCTCAACCATCTGGTTGTGAAGAGAGAATGCCTCTTTCATTTCCCCTGCCTTGCAATACCCATCAATAAGAGCAGTAAAAGTAACTTCATCTGGTTCCAACCCTTTACTGAACATTTCACTAAACAGTTTGCGTGCTTCCACCACCTTTCCAGCTTGACAGAGACCATGAATCATGGAAGTATATGTCACAAAATCAGGAACTATTTTCTTATGCCTCATTTCATCAAAGAGTTTGTATTCAGCTGAAACTTTCCCAGACTTGCCAAACCCACTGATGAGAGTAGTATAGACCACATTATCCGGAAAAATCCTCTGGTTTATCATCTCCCTCAAGACTTGCTCTGCTTCAACTATTCTACCACTCTTACAAAGAAGAGCAATTATGCAATTGTACGTGTATTGATTCGGTTTTAAGCCCTTTCTCTGCAACTCTTCCATGAGCTTCAAGACCTTGCCTAGCTGTTCAACCTGACAATATCCATTAATTATAACGCTATAACTTACAACATCAGGAACATTTCCCTTAAACTCCATTTGTATGAGCAGATTGTGTGCTTCTTTTACCTTACCCAGTTGACAAAGCGAATGAAAAATAATATTATACGACCTAGTGTTCCAACAAACACCCACTTCTGGATACTCTCTGAACACCCTAATTGCCGTCTTTATCCCATCAAAACTGTTAGATAGCCTAGCTAGAAACAAATTACAAGAATCTATAGTGACAAGAACACCATATTTTACCAACTTATCAAACAATTGCCCAGCTTCTAGAAGCAACCCTGCCTCAACAAGAACTTGAAAAAGCACATCAAACACAAGAGGGTGTGCACCCCAGTCCTTGTAGGTATAAATCAACCTCTCCGAAAAGCGAGCAAAGGAGTTACTAACATCCAAATGGGGCTTTTCCCAGAACTCAAAAACCAGCCTGTGAGCCATTTTCAGATCCTTAGAAGCCACAGCAATCTGAACCACAATGCAAAGGGCTTCCAAGGAAGGGTCCCGGCGCAAGCTCGCCCAATTGAAGAAATCCAACACAAGTTTATAGTCATCCTTGATGTTCATGAGAACCCAAATGACATGATCAGGCTTAAACCTAGACTCAAAAGGCCTGAGAATCCGGCGAAAGGGCTCGGCGCGGCGCTGCTTAATGGTGGTGGAAATGTGGTGCACAAAGTCACTGTCTGTGACTGAAGGCTTTCTTGGGGAGTAATCAGGAAAAGGCCTGGCATTGCTTGAACCCAAAGAAGAGGAAAATTTCACACTCAAACATCTTGGACCAAAACCCGTAAATGAATTATTATAATGATAGTGAAAACAATGGAAACAAGAGAAGATAGTTGCTCTCTTCATGTGCAAGAGGTAAACCCATTACACAAGTTTTGAAATTTCTCTTCTACTCTGCCAACAGAGAGGGTCTCTCATCAAGAATTCAAAAACACGACCAACAACAACATGGTACGAGAATGATTGCATCTTTCCTTAATAAACGGAAAACGTGAACGAAGATTTGAATGAAGTGAATAGTAAATGAACCTGAGAAGAAGGGTTGAGGAAGCTCTAATCTTTGGTGCGGCTATCGTCTCACTCTCACCACACGAAGCTTAGGCGAAAACGGACCCATCACTAAGGTTATTGCCAAATAGCCCCAACTATTCTCAACTTATCATTTTCTTTCTTTTCATTTATTTCAAAATTTGCTAAAGTTATTCATCTTGTATTTCAAATTTAGCATAATCCTCTGTAAATTTAAATTAAAATAATTAATTTTATCATAGCCTTCTTAAGATTTATTTTTAAATATAAAATCTTTTAGAGATTTTTCTTCATTTCTTGTTTTTTCAATGTGTCCTTTTTTATATTTATTGCTTAATTAGATTTTAGTATTTTTTTTAAAATATTATATCATGATATATAAAGTTAAAATCTAATTTTTATTTAGAATAATATTTATTTAATACAAATTTTAATAATAACATATTTTATATAGTTAAAAATATTTATTTGTTACAAATTTTAATTATATAAAATAACTATTTATCAAGGAATTCATATTTTGTATGGTGTTATATTTAATTAATATAATTTAATTTATAAATAAAAATGATAAATATAAATTTGAATTAGGTATAAAAAGTTTTTTAAAAAATCTAAAAATACTCTCATAAAAAATAATTTTAAAAACACTTTCAGAGAATTCATATTTAATATATAAAAATTGATTTGGATGGACTAATATTTTGAAATTGGACCCAATGTATTTCTAGGACAAGTTTTGATTATATTTCGGATCGCTTAATCCAATTTAACATATAATATTCTCTCATAAAATATAAATATTTTTTTAATTATTATGCATAATATTAAAAAAAACTAGTCTTATATTTATAATGTAATTATTTATTTTAAATTATATATATTGTAAATTATACCTTACTTTAAGTTTTGTTCTTGTTTTATTTTATAATTTAACCATGCGTAACAAAATCAAATTAACCCAACTTTATCCATATAATTTTGAGTCTTAATCAGGTTAGTTTGAACAATGATAAGCTGATTCTTGCTCACCCCAAATTAGACTAATAATTTAAAGATTTAATATATCATTTAGTCATTAGATTTTTTTTAAAATTTTTAATTAGGTCTCTGAATTAAAAGACTTATAAATAGTTCCTTCATCTTTCTGTATTTTTGTAATTTAGTTCTAGTATTTAAAAATTCATTTACAATGCATAAAATTTTACATAAGATTTTTAATATTTGCATTTGGATAATAATATAAGATTATTATTAAGTGTAATCATCTATATGTATCAAAAATACTTTGTGAAATTTCATAAATTGTAAATAAATTTTTAACCTCAAAGACTAAGGGATTGTTTGTTTAAAAAAAAAAGGAGAAGAAAGAGGAGTTTCAATAGAGAGAAAGGGGGAAGGAATTGTAAATTGTTTGGTTGAGAGGAGGGAACAAAGATAACTTTTTTCTTCTTTGATTTACGATAAAAGATGACGAATTTTAAAAACAAATTTACTTTTGAATCCTTCCTATATTTTACACATCTTACTTAAAATGTTTTAAAATTCCTCTATTTCCTTCCTTTCCAAATCCCTCAATATTGGAGGGACTAAGATTAGTGGAGGAAGAGTTTATTCTCCTCTCCTTTAAAAGTTGAAATGGAGAAAATAAAAAATAAATAAATAAATAAATAAAATACATCACTCTTCTTTATTCTCCTCCAACTAAACACTAATATTGTATTTGGTAAAAAAAGATAAAAATGAAGAAAAGATAACAGAAGGAGAATGGATAAGAAACAAAGTGAAATTTAAAATTGTTGATAAAGAAAAATAGAAGATAAAATTTTAATTAATGTATATTAAATTAAATAAAAAAAACCAAAATTAATAAATTTAAACATTTTATTTACTTAACAATAATTATTTTTATATATTAAAATATTTTTAAATAAAATTATTTTTAAATCCTAAACCCTAAAAATAATCCTAAACGGTAAATATAATTGATTATGCAAGGAAACATTCACCTAATAACTGAAGTTTTGCAACAGATGGACAGTAACACTCAATAACTTTCGCGTAAATCTTCTCACTTTTGCAGGAAAGTTTTTTTGTATGGATTTCTTTGCTTTTCTTTACATTTTTTCGCTGCCAACTTCTTTGTTGTTCTCTTCTCTCTCCCTTTACTTCTCTCACACCAAACACCATAAATAAATTACAATATATATATATATAAAGAAAAAAAATAATTACTGAAATCTAATTATTAAAAAATTCTAAAAAGTCCAAAGACAAAATGATGTATTAAACTTAATTTAAAGTATAATTTAATATGTTTTTAGTTCTTAATTATTTTATTTTCAACTTTCACTTTTAATTCCTGAACAAATATTTTACTAGTTTTCGTTAATTTTTACCAATGATTTTCACTTTAAATCCTTAAAATTTCCCTTCCATTAATATTTTTGGTATCTAACATTAAAATTTTTTGTTCATAATGAGAAATTTTAGATACTAAAATCAAATAAAATTTGTTTATAAACTAAAAGAGAAAATTAATGAAAATTAAGATACTAATAACGTATTTATTCCTTTAAATTATGAATGTTAGGGAGATATGTGATAAGGAAAGACACTAATAACGTATTTATTCCTTTAAATTATGTATGTTAGGGAGATATGAGATGAGAGATAAGAAGGTAGCAATTCTTCTTCTCCCAATTAAATGAGAGTTGCCATCTACCACTACTCGGTACTCACAATAATTTTGGCTTGGCAAACCAAATATGAAGTCAAAGCAGAAAAATAATTTCATTTGGCTTCTGTAACATTCTCTACATTACAAGTTCACAAACCATCGGTTTGCTTCAGCGATTGCTATAGTATTCAACATTATATGATACACACTGGCCATAATGGTCCTCAGTGCCTATGTACAGACATATAATATGAATATTCTGATGATAGGCTATGTCATCTCATGTTGCAACATAGGGGTTTCCCCTGGTTTTGTAACTTATCCCACATACAGGTCATTTGTCGTGGAGATTGGTAATGTGCAGTGTAGTAATCTTCGATGCACCCATATTGGCAGAACTTCAAGCTGTGCACATACTCAACTCGTTTTGAACTGTTGAACTTCCCTACCCACATTCCCATGCTCACATCCTCCATTTTAAATAACTACAACACATTGAAATTGTCATCAATAAGCTACCAACTCTTTCGCCCCGTTTGTCAAGACACAAGTATATACATAAACTAGCAGAGATCTGTTTGGATAAACTTCTACAAAAATACTTATAAAAGAAGAAAATAGAAATTAGCTTCTCTCAGATACATAAATTATTAATTTTTAAAAACTCTTTCATATTAGTTTTTTCATAAAGATATTTTTAACTTTATATACGTAAGTTAATTTTAACTTATGGAGAAGTTTATTTCATTTTTCCTTCCTATTTTTTACCCTTTTAAGTGTTTTTGAAGAAGTTTTCTAAACATATTTTTAAACATATATCCATGCAAGTTTGCATAAAAGAAACAAGAGGTAGAGAGTGGCAAACACAATCAGTCTATCAGGGAGAGGTCAACAAGGTCATTTGTGAACATACTTTTAATCTGCGCTTCTCGAAGTTTGATACAATGAACTCTGCGATGTCTGAAGAGACTATATAACCTGGACCATTAGCATAGGTGGGATACTCTTCCTCTGACCATTCCTGGTTGTTATGAACAACAAATTTAAATCAAAACATAAGGCATAAAACAGTTAGCATTTTCTCATGCAGAGTTTCGTGACTGAAATTGAGTGTCATTTTCATATAACTTCTAAACTTCAGCTCACTGAAATGCAACCATGTTACGTGTAACTCTTACAATCATATTCCTGAACACTATTTGAATTTGATCAGTTAAAAAAATCAGAATACTTAATGTTCTGTTATCATCTGCTCAGAATTGCAGAAACATATCGTGCAGAACTTCAACTAATCACCTAGAAATTCAAATGCACAACTAATGTCAAACAACTGCATCAGGTTAACCACATGGGATTCTAGGTAGAAGATATTTAAGCAACAAACTTTCATCCATGAATGATGTATGTAGAAAAATATCCCGGTAGATGACTAGTAGTTTCTTTAAATACTCAAATATAACCCTCTAAGCATTCTGGGAAAGTTAAAAACTATGGTGACCAGCATGAAAAGTAGACAAGACAGGACAGCAAAAAAACTAACGCAATTTCAACAATCGCCCATACTACATATCATAACAATTTGCAACCATGCACTACAAAAAAAAAAAAGGAAACGAAACTGTGTTTAAGTAACAGTCCACATTATAATAAATTTTAACAATCACCCATACCACATATCATAACAATTCGCAACCATGCACTGCAAAAAACAATTAGTAAAAGCAACTGTGTTGCCACAGTCCACATTATAATAAAAATATTAAGCTAACTACATATGTTAAGGCAAAACTAAGAGAAAAACTATACCTCATATGTAACTGCCCATTTTCCATGACGAAAGGGCCGGTGGTGGTAATTCATATTTCCAATATAGAGACTTCTACCATCTACTTTTCTTGCTTCGCTAATGATAGAATCCATTCTGACAAATGTGTCATCATCACACTTCATGATATACTTGGCAGGCACTGAGCGAATCTGACAATAAGAATTTTCAATAACAGCCAATAATATAACAAGAAACTTAAATAAGATACAGGGAACACAAAATTTACAACACAAATGAGCATTATTCAACTCTGCCAATACTCACCCCATATTCAGTGATAGCTATGGTCTTCAACACAACAAGGTCATAATGATCCATGTATGGGACTATAACAATATCGCCAAAATAATCAGCTTCTTTCTTTATCTCCACATCTATATCTTTCCTTCCGTGCTATTATTAGAAATGAGAAATGTAAAAATAGTAAATATTTTTAATGAAAAAAGGTAGTTGTGGATTATATTTTATCACTATTGGTGTCGGGAAGATGCATTCACTCTTACCAAAGCAACAAAGAACCGGGCCACGACATCAGACGATTTGATTAATTTATGTTGCATCCATGATTTCCTTACTGCCATCCGTTCAGCAAAATGATTGCCAGCAGAAAGTATTCCAATGAAAAGTTCCACATTCACATGGAGAAGAGGTGGAGCTTTCCATTGAGGAAGTAACTCAAGATGCATCTGTGGAGCAAAACTTGGATGTGACGCGGGTAAGGAAGCTGCAAAAATAGAGTGCATATCCACATCCCCTTTTACTGATAGACCAGTTGCATCCTCCAAAGAAAAGCCCTGAGAATATAGCCTAAACAATTTAGATATGTCTGAATTCACACAATAAATTGAGACATGATTAGTGTACCAACCGTGCGATAGGGAAAAGATGTCACATGCCTTCCATCCACACTCACATGGTATCCTTCCATGCCAGCATTTACGGTGAGAACAAATAATTTCCCCTCTACAAAAGGGTATGGCCAATCTATAGTCACCTTCTTAGTCCTCCCTATCAGTCTAGTTAACCACCATGTTGCCTTTGCCTCTTCTGCGCGGCTATCATCATCACGAATCCACTTTTCACATTTCACCTGTCCATCAACTTCATAAGGCACAGAAAATCAGCAAAGGGAACAATGTCCTTGGAACCGACATACTGATAAGAAAAAATGAAGCACACTAAATGCATACATTCACCGAAGAGAATGAAAATAGTAATATGAGGAAAAAAAATTGTGCTTTTCTATAGTCTAATTCGCAGCACGGACCATAGTAGAATACATAAAGCAGGAATAATGTCCATGAAGAGATCAAGGCCCTAAAATTCACTACATATCTACTCACAAAATTAACAAAAAGGCGGCTGGGGAGGAGCCCAGAGACTGTTATTTACAATGAATTCTCTAAAATTAACTTCTTATCATCATGAATCAACTGACTAACTGAGCACCTAATGCATCTTTGCCGTGTATTTGACACTCTCACCCTCTTCTTACACTTACATTCAGTTCAATGCCATTGGTAACCAAAAATGCTTCTAAATGCATTCCACAACCACAATTCAAAACCACGATGCTAATCAAACAAAACACAACAATCATTTTCAACTGAAAAATGAGAAAGGTTGAAATGAATCACCAGTATCCTCGTCAGCCCGGGACTTCCATCCCTCACACCTGAGAGCAGAACCCCACTGCATCCTGTAACAAGTGTTCTGCTCAATCACAGGCTTGCCACTATAATCCCCCTTCAACCTGGGGTTGAAATGCAGTATCCTCGGAGGCTCTTCCTTGTCCACACTCTTCAAACCCTGAAGCTCCATCATGAACTGTGACACCATCACCTTCCTCTCCCCTTCCTTAACCCCAGATATCTTAGGATTGTCCTCCCAGTGAGCCCAACGCGGGGTCCCCACAAGAGTAACATGAGAACCCAGCGTCAACCCACACGGAATCAACATGATCCCTTTCTTCTCCCTCAATTCAGACCCGGATAGAGAAATTGAATGCTGACACGAATCAGAAATGTTCTCAGCCACATTTTCAGTTTCCTTCACACTTAGAACTTCTTCCCAGAGCCTCTTCCCTTCAAACCAAGCATGCCTGGCAGCCATGTGGAGTTCAGAAGCCTCGTTTTTGGTGTCATTCAAAGCCTCAATGAAACTCAAGGTGGAAACTTTCTGCAACCCCTGCATGATCTTTCGATGCAGTGAACCTTGTAACACCCCAGAAGCTTCTTGCGAGAGAAAGTTTGAGTCTTTGCTGAGATGGGTGCGTTGGTGTTCATTCCCCAGCAATGAGGACACTGACACAAACCTCGTTTTGGAAGCGAGAGAGATTTCGATTTCGAAGGTGGTGAAGAGCAAGTAGAGAAAAATAAGAGCAATGAAAATTTGAAGAGGCTTAGCCCTATTGGGTAGGAACAACAATGGGTCTAGCTTCTTCACCCTCTTCATTGTTCTCAAAAATCACAAGTTGAACACTGATTTCTAATTTCTTTTCCACCCTTTGAGAAGAATCAGAAGCAATGGGAAATTTTCCTTTTTGAGTAACGTTCAATGCATCAACGGCTTTAGAAACTTAGCCGTAAAGTGGAACAGAATCAGCAGGGACCAGCCTGTTCACACTTCACACCCAAATTTCGATCACATGAATGCAAAAAAAGAACCAGAGAAAGCTTTTGTCTTTCTGTACAATGTAAAGTTTGATAATTTCTTACAAATATGATTGCATTCACAATTTTAACATATTTTTTAATGCTCTCGAAATAAACGTTTTTTTTTGTTACAAAAATAAACGTATATTTTTTAATGCTGTAAAAAAAACGAATATTTTTAGTCGACAATTTACTACCACAACTAAAGTCTATTAAAAGTTCTGAAGTTAATAAAAAGTGAAATCCACGAAATTTATAAACTTTCATTAATTGTCTAACATTATTAATATTTATAGACTGATAATTATGAGGAAAATTATATATATATATATATATATATATATTTATATTCGGGCATTAAATGCAAATACATTTTTCAAGAAAAATAATGTATTCGCTGTAAAAAAAACGAAAAGTAACATAATTTCCATATATTATTATTATAAAGAAATTATACAAACAACAATATTATATTATTTTATGTATACTTTTCAAAATAATTATTATAAAAATTAAAAAGTTTCATTATATATTATAATTTGTAATTGAATCACTGAATTTTTTTTTTCATAATGCGAATGTACTGTAACTAAATTCAATTTACTAACGCGATCATACAAATTTAATTTACTTTTCTTAATTTTTTTAAAAAAGCTGTACTTAAATAATGATAAAAATATTTACACAATAAGATGGTGTTTAAATTAAATTAATTGATGGAGAAAAAAAAACATAATTAAATGAGGACGAGTTAAGTTTTTTTGATAAAAATGATCAATAAATATAATTGATTATAAAATAATATGATTGAAAAACAGATCTAAAAAATAATAATAACCTAGATGACACTAAATATTGATTATCGATTTTTATGTTAGAATCGATTTTGCTGCAAGTGATGGAATGATGATATATGTAAAGTGATTTTATAATATGTTATAATGATTATTAAATTTTGTTATAAATGATAATTTGTGATGGGTGAATGGGATGTTTGATTATTAAATTCTTTTATATTAAACCTTGTTATAATGATGTAATAGTTTATAGTGTGTTTTATGGGGTTGCATTAAAGAGAGACATGTGGTCATGAATTTTACACCTCACATTCTTGGGTGTCCAGCTCCAGATGGGGTAGGTGGTTAACATGTTTATTCCCTATCAAGCAACATACTTTGCATTTTCATTAAATAAATATAAATTGAATAATTACTTTGCATGTGTTGAAATATTACTTTCTTTATTTACTTTGCATGGAAGAAAAGGCTTAGAAATGTGTGAGAATTCCGAAGAAGGAAAGAAAAAAGAGTTTGTGTGATTTTGAAAATTTGAGTTGGGATCTCGAAGACCGTTGGAACTTGGAAGAAAGAGTTCATTCCAAGTGGGGACCCTCGCCATGGGACACCAACACTGCGATTCCTGATGGAGATGTTATCGATCCGCTGCATTTCTTTCTCTCTTTTTTTTTCTTTAATGCTTTGTTTAAGGGAGGGAAAAGAATGGAAGAGAACAAGGAAAAATAGTGAAAATTTTATTTAATAAAAATTAAGTAAGAAATTGAATGAAATTTATAATTATTTAATACAGTAAAATTAAGTAAAAAATAAAGTGAAATTGGTATTTATAATTATTATTTTATTTTTATTTTATAAAATATTTATGATTAATATTTTTTATTTTATATAATTTTACATATTTTTTTAAAATTCACAAGAATTCTTTTAATGGAAAGGTATAAAAAAAATGATGTGGATCCATTTTTAATTTCTCACAATTCTCTTTAAATATTTTTTACCAAACGCATATATTTTTTTAAAAATTCACTCTAGTCCATTTTAATTCATCCTCCTCCCTATTAAATCACCTCCACTAAACATAAGTTAAAGCTATAAATTAATTTTACTTTTTAAATTTAATTGTGAATTGAAATATCTATGTATAAATATATATTTATTTTAAATATGAATCTTTCTAAGATTTATTATTTGACAATAATATTTTTCAAAAAAAAATCTTTAATAAAATTGTTTATAAGAATTTTTTAATTAGTAGTTTAGTTTGTGCAAAATCAATAAGGTATAGTAATAAATTGATAGATATTAGGTTTCTTAATTTGTACAAGTAAAATTTACTTTAGTGATCTTTACCTTATGTGAAACATTGTTATTTTTTTTTAACGTATGTTTTATGTGATTATATGCTTTATTTTTTAATATTTCTTGATTCGCTTGAGAAGGGTTAAAGTGGAGAGAAAATTAAAGTTGAGTTATAATAGAAAAGAGAAATGGAGAACTTCATAAATTTATCATTTCTTAACATTCTAGAGAAATAAACTAGAAAGAATAGTTCTCAGCAAGGCGAAGACATTTTTTTCTTTTAGTCCTTCTATAAGCTCTTGATCTTCCTCAACCTAAAGATTTAAGTTTTAATTAATAGAAATTGATCATGCATTATTAATTGACTGATATAAGAGTAAAGTGTTAAAATAATCTAACATGTTATAGAAACGAATTCATTCAATTCACAAAAGAGGCTCACAAAAGACAATTACATCATAATTTTAGATACAACGATTAGCAAGACATGACTATTATAAAACCCAACATTCTATTAAAGTTCATAAACAAAGAGAGAATGTATTAGCCGTAAAGGTGAATAATCCTTCTGTAAGGGTTGATCTCAACCTCTAATAAAACCTTAATTCAAAACAATAAGAGAGAAAAGAAAAATACAAAGAACTAGTTTGAAAAACAACATGATTTGGTATATTCTAAAAAATCTTATTTACAAGAGAAAACTAGGGCGATCCTTCAAGCACAACTGTGCATATCAAGTAACACATTTGTGCTTCTCAAACATGGGCGTCCATAATTCTTACACAATCATGCTACAAGGAAGCACGACCTTGTATCTTGTGCATTGGTGTGTACCCTCTAACATAGGGCATGCTTCATTTAAGCACAATTGTGCCTCAACTAAACACGACGACTATGCATGGTGCCTCAACTTGTATTTTCATCTTTTTGGCTAGTTATTGTATCGATTTCTCTATTTTGCATCTTCTTACCTTTTTGTTGCACACTTAACCAAAAAGTGAAGGTTGCCAATGAAATTGTCCATTAAGCAAGGCAAAACAACAGTAAATAACATATTAAACTACAATAGTTGGAGGGTTTAACACAAGGTGATGCTATGAGTTCCCCAAATCAAAAACTCTAACATTGTTTGTTATGACACCTTCTCAACAATAGAGCTCGAATCCTTTATGAGAAAAGTCTAAACCCTAAAAGCCTTTTTCAACTCATAGTGGTGCCTTGCCAATGACTCATATTTTATATTTTTATATTTAGATGCACCAATACTATGATAGATCAAAGAACTAAGAAGCAAGAAAATGAAATATTGAACCGTGGAAGTAGCTTGAACTAAGAAAGTAAGCGACCATAGGAAGATACAAAGCAAAGATTGAATTTGAGCATGACTAGTCAAGTCAAGTGACAACCAAAGCAAGAGAGAATAAAAGTGTGTTGTGTACACAAGAATAAAGCATTTTGTTTGTGCTACATCCCATGAGAACAAAGACTAAACAATTATTGTAATACTCCTCAAATTCGGCATCTTCATGATTACACTCTATAATAGTTCACACAGTGACATTTTACACAACTCTTCATTAGTTAGAACCTTATATAAGTAATCTTTTTTGAGATGTTTGACCTTCTTAGGATCAAGGAGTGTCCCTACAAACACATAAGACTTTTTAGTGTGCTTGGTCTCACTCACACGCTTTCTATAGCAAACATTTCAGAAAGTCATTTATCTCTAAATCGTTCTAAGTCAGTCACAATTAACTATGAAATTTTTAAGTAACGAGCTACTGAAAAGAAGATGTATCTTATTAGTATAAGTAATACTAATTAATTTTTTTAAGTCATCTTCAAGTATATTATCACACTTGTACAACATCAGAATCCCTCTTATGATTTGGTGTGCCCATGATGTTACATTAATGTAATAAATAATTTTTAAAGAAATTAAAATAAAATAAAAAGTAAGTGAGATACACAAATTTATTGCAAAACAAATTTGCATGAAAACTTTAATTTATGTGCAAGAAAATCTGCCTGAAAACTCTTTGGGAAAAAAAACTATGGGAAAATTTTTTTGACGAAAAACTCTATTGAAAATTAAAGATTTCTAAGTGTCTGAATATTTAAAATAAATGTTTGTCCGAGACTTATATTTGAGGTTATTATACAAACTCCACAGTAATTAATCTATGTGTTTGGTGAACCACTAGGGCTTATATTTTTTTTCTTCTTCTTCTTAGTCCATGAATGTGTTGTGTTTGCTTGAGTCACTCTTGTCCATGAATGTGTTGGGTTAGAGGCCCGTGGTTGATGAGCAAGCACCACAAATTTGGAAAGAACAAGATAATGTGTACTTCACTAGCTTCTTCTTTTATCAACTAATGTTCATCCCAGCCAAAGCTTTCAACTGTATGGTTCAAATGATTAAATTCATAAGTTCCACTGTCTCTTCCCAGACCCAATTGTCCGCTTCTATGCACGCTCGAAGCATTACTAAGTGGCTTATATTAGAAGGTTAGAATAATGGTATTCATTGTTATCTGAAACTTTGGTGTGAGCAACAACATTGACACTAAATTTATATAATCAGAAGCAACAAATATATTACATTTTCGTTTTAAAGAAAAAAAGCTATCAAGTTCAAGACCCTCTCAGATAAGGATTTTATATTTAATACTGTATCCTCACTTCCTGTGTGGTTTTCTTTTCTAAAGATGTTTCCTCCAATTTCCAAGGCATCATTTATGCATAAAAATATTCGCCACAAAATATAAAAAACACATAAATGTGTGCAGTAAAGGTGTAAACAAGGGTACCAAATTTAAGGATAAAAATTCAGACTACGGACATAGATGAGTCCTTGAAGTATATAAAATTTGTAATAATGAAACTGTCTTCTCTCTTCTGACTGGGGGGTCTCGACATAAAAGTACACACAGAATATAAAAAGAACATCA